CCCAGGGACCCTGGGTGAGAGGTCGTTGGGGGTTCCTTAAGGATGCAGAACTCCTGTCCTCGGGCCTTCCCTGGGGTCCACGGCACCAGGAGGCAGGGAGCTTGTCCTTGGGGGCTGCACCCACCCCACCATAACGACATAGCGACCTGTTCTCCTGTCTGTGGGGCCTCCCTTTGCAGCCTTTCCCCACCACGCACACCCCTGGGTTCTTGGGGGGGAACGATGTGAAATGTCTTACATGAGTAGATGACTTTCTGACACCTCTCTTGGCACAAAGAAAAGAAAACCCAAAGTTCAGTCACCAGTGGGCCATTCTGCCCTTTCAGACTCGTAGGTCTACGCCTCTTTGTCTCTTCCAGAAATTGCTTATTTCCCCCCGGGGAGCAGGCCCTCCTGTGAACTCTTTTATCAGACTTTCGCATTGACTTTTGACTTGCTTGGTCACGGGCAAATGGAGTCTTGTGTGTGCCCTTGGTCCGTCCTTCCCTATAAGGGACCTTCTTTTCCTTGCAGCTCTCCACCTGCCTTGACTACACTCCTGCCTGCAGAGGGCTCTTTCTTTTAGGGGCACAGGGCTCCTCTCTTTTCTAAAGTCCCCTTCACAGCCTCATCCCCTTAGCCCTGGTTCTGGACATCTCAGAAGGAAATGGTGCAAGAGATGGACCTGCAAGTAGGCTCAGCCCAGGGTTTCCAGCTTCAGTATGTTTGTCGCTTCTCTTGTTTACAGATTTGGAGCCCAAACTTGGAAAGTACTTGTAAATTTAAGTGAATAAAAAAAATGTTTTATAAAGGTATAGAGCGACTGAGAGAGAGAGCGAAGTAAAACATGTATTCAGTAGCTGGATGTCTTTCCGCACACACCTGAGAACTTAAGGACAAGAGCATGAATTATGTACTAATTTTTGACTTTGAGGGTTCTGCATCCCAATTTATGTCATGTAATCAGTTATTTCTCCTGGACAAAATCAACTTAGATCAGTTGCCTCGGGCAAGGTGGGGGGCGATTGGAAAGAGGGGCATAAAGGAACTTTTTGGAGGGAAAAATTGTTCTATATTTTAATTGGGGTGTTGGTTATATGATCTATTCATTTGTAAAACTTATGAACTGAACTATAGACTGAAGATCTGTGCAGTTAACTGCATACAAATTATATCTCAATTGAAAAATAGAAAAGTTAAGCCAGTGATTTGGCAAACTTGGCCAATTTCACTATGCTACAGTGTGTTGAAAAGAAATTAATCTGAAAACAAAAAATAATACCCTATTGAGAAGGCAGACATAGGCTGTAAGGATATGGTAATAGTTATAACAAGTTGTAGGAGCCCTAACCGGTTTGGCTCAGCGGATAGAGCATTGGCCTGCGGACTCAAGGGTCCCAGGTTCGATTCCAGTCAAGGGCATGTACCTTGGTTGAAGGCACATCCCCAGGAGGGGGCGTGCAGGAGGCAGCTGATCGATGTCTCTCTCATCGATGTTTCTAACTCTCTATCCCTTTCCCCTCCTCTCTGTAAAAAAGCAATAAAATATATTTAAAAATAAAGTTGTAGGAAATATTAAAAACCAGCAAATAACAGGATTGCTTCTATTATATTCTAAGGGAAATGGAAAGCAGGGGAGCAGACATTGTTAATGGGCTAAGCCAGTGTTCAGCAGTGGGAGCTGCTCCTTTTCATTGTGCTTACTCACGTCTAATTGCGTGGTGAGCTAATTGCAGCAATTAGTCTTGCCTTCGTTGAACAGGCTTGGGAATTCCTTGAAGTCATTCTCTTAGCAGAACTGGTTGGATTTTCCGTAGTCTGGAGGCCTCCGCAAATTCTGGCCTGCGATGGTGCTCTGGAAATGACCTGGTTGCCCCCATTGGGGCTTGGGGGCGTGTGACGAATCTGGGAGCCGGTGAGTCATGCCCGCCAGGCCGCGGAGCAGTGCGGACCGTTGTGGGTTCTGCACTGTGCTGTTCTCTCCGGGCACCTGCCCAGCCTCGCCTCGGTTCCAATTAATCACATGTTGAAAACAAACAGGATTATTCACAGCAGCACTGTTTGAAATGGCAAAAGAATGAAAACAGTCCTCATGAGCATCGAGGGAAGACTGGTTGAATAACTTATGATTTATCCACATGATGTAATACTGAAAAAAAAAAAAAAAGAATGAGGACACTCTATGTGCAAATTTGGAAAGGAGTTCCAAGCCATGTCATCCAATGAAAAAAAATAGAACAAAGTGTACTGGATGACCATTTCTATAAAATATGAGTGCGTGTCTGTATTTGCTTGTCTAAAGAAACTTTGAAAAGAGACAAGAAACTTGATAACAGTGGTGACATTTGTGTGGGAGGGTGGGGGGCCATTGGGGTTGGGAAGTGGGTAGGAGAGACATGAAGTAGGGGAAGACTTTTCACTGCAAACCTTTTTAAAATAGTTTTTTTTTTTTTTTAAATCATGTGAATGGATTACCTAAAGAAAGGTGAAGATCAGTTAATTAAAATGTTCAGAAGTCTTTAAAAATAGGAAAATGTGTTAGCGGAAGGGGAGCGCTAATGATTACCTAATCCAGAATTCCCCACACAGGGCTTGTGCAGGGGGCACGGGCAACCCACATACTTAAAGCAGCACAGGCTTGCTGGTTTCATTGCGCTTTTTTAAAAAAATCCTCACCCGAGGAGATAGGTCTTATCTAATAAAGAGGGAATATGCAAATTGACCATCACACAGTAATGGAGGCAGGGATTCTGTAACACAAGATGGCTGTGCCCACAGCGGAGGCCAAGTTCCTGTAATGAGCCTTTAAAAGCAATCAGCAGGGACCTGAGGCTGTCCCCCTGCCTGATGGGGCTTGACAAGGGACCTCAGGCCACATCCCCTGCCCTGGCACGGGGCTGGGGGACCTCAGGCTGCGCCCCCTGCTCAGCAGAGCTTGACGGGGGACCTGAGTCCGCGCCCTCCCGCTCCGGCACTGGGCTGGGGGACCTGAGGCTGTGCCCCCCACCATGCAGGACTTGATGGGGGACCTCAGGCCGTGCCCCCCGCCCTGGGCCAGGGGACCTCAGGCCATGCCCCCCGCCCCAGCGCCAGGCTGGGGGATCTCAGGCTGCGTACCCTGCCCTAGGCTGGGGGACCTGAGGCTGCACCCCCCCACCTGGCGGGGCTTCACTGGGGACCTCAGGCTGCACCCCTGCCCTGGGCCAGGGACCTCAAGGCACATCCCCCGATTTGGGCTGGGGGACCTCAGGCTGCGCCCCCTACCCCGGCGCCGGGCCAGGTGACCTGAGGCTGCACCCCCCACCTGGTGGGGCTTGACAGGGGTGGGGCTGGCCGGGTTTGGATCTAGCGGCTAGATTCTAGCCCAATGCGAGTGGCTGGCCGGGTCTGGGCCTCGCGTGATTTTGAGGCGCACGTGGGTGGGCAGGGACTTGACCCTGGTTCCCATGGCACGCCCTAGACTCTGACAGGAGGAAGATTTTCATATATATTTTCTTTCATTTCTGACACTTCTATTATACAGAAAGGGCAAATAGCAATATTAAAATATTTCCTCTAATTAGTTCCCTTTTAATGTGCACAAAGTTCATACACCAGGTCACTAGTATATATATATAAATGATATTTAGAAGAAGGGAGAGAAACATCAGTGTGAGAGAGAAGCATTTATCTGTTGCTTCCTGCATGGACACTGACTGGGGATCAAACCCGAAGCCTAGGTATGTGCCCTGACCAGCAATTGAACCTGCAACCTTTTGGGACGATGCTCCCACCCAATGAGCCACCTGGCCAGGGCTCATGGTGCTTACAGCACTGCACTTTGCAGATAACTGCATTTAAAAAAAATTGAATGTTTGGGGTGTCCTTGCGTCGAGCAAATTGAAAATCTTCTGGAAAGGATTCACCATTCCAGATGCCATTAAAAACATTCACGATTCATGGGAAGAGGTCAAAATGTAAAATTTTTTTCTCCTTTCTGAATCTTCCTTATTTTAATGATCATGTATTACCTTTACCACCCAAACAAACATAAAATGGTAAAAGTTAGTCATATGAAGCTTATGAATGATGCTGGTTAAGTACATGTCATTTAGTTTTACTATCTCTTACTTGAATTTTTTTTTTTTTTAAATATATTTTATTGACTTTTCACAGAGAGGAAGGGAGAGAGATAGAGAGTTAGAAACATCGACGGGAGAGAAACATCGATCAGCCGCCTCCTGCACATCTCCCACTGGGGATGTGCCCGCAACCCAGGCACATGCCCCTGACCGGAATCGAACCTGGGACCCTTCAGTCCGCAGGCCAACGCTCCATCCACTGAGCCAAACCGGTTTCGGCTCTTACTTGAATTTTAACTGAAAACCTCAGATATCAGCTCTTGCAGCTATCATTTTTAAAACTCTATTGTTGAAAGTATTACAAATGTCCTCCTATTTCCCCCTTTGCAAAATGTCAGTATTAACAAGAGTTGGAAGAAGTTGACTCTAACCCACGTTGACGCCTCTGAGGGGTTCAAGCCTTTGGTGGAGGAAGTACTGCAGATGTGGTGGAAACAGCAAGAGAACTAGACTAGAGGTGGAGCCTGACTATGGGACTGAATTGCTTCAGTCTCATGACAAAATGGTTGAAGAGTTGCTTCTTATGGGTGAGCAAAGAAAGCGTTTCTTGAGATGGAATCCACTCCCGGTGAAGGTGCTGTGAAGGGTGGTGCAATGACAACAAAGGGCGTAGAACGTTACATCAACTTAGTTGACAAAGCAGTGGCAGTGTCTGAGGGGATTGGCCTCCGTTCTGAAAAAAGCTCTCCTGTGGGGAAATGCTAGCAAACAGCATCACATGCTACAGAGGAGTCGTTTGTGAAAGGAAGTCAACCGATGCAGCCAACTCCATTGTTGTCTTATTTTAAGAAATGTCCATGGCCACCCCAACCTTCAGCAGCCGTCAGCATGGAGGCGAGACCCTCCACCAGCAAATATTATGAGCGCTGAAGGTTCAGATGATGGGTAGCATTTTGGGCAATAAAGTATTCTTTTTTTTCTCTCGTTTATTTTATTTGACTTTTTTTACAATATACAAAATAAATCTATTACCAGATTGTAGATACAACATAATTAGCCGTTTACATGCAATAAACATTAATGTTTCAAGAAAAAGGGTTTTAAATGTTACATGCAATAAACATTAATATTCCAAGAAAACCAACTTAAATCTATATAAAAGTCTAAGCGACTGAATGACCAGAACCACCAGTCGCTATGACGTGCACTGACCACCAGGGGGCAGACGCTCAACGCAGGAGCTGCCCCCTGGTGGTCAGTGTGCTCCCACAGCAGGTGCGCCGTTCAGCTGAGACCCGTCCAGGTGGCCCACCAGCCCGAAGGCAGCCACTCCCTGCAGGTCCAATCTCGGGAGAATGGGCCAGGCACTGAGGGACCAGCCCAACAGCGCTGATTCCAACAGCGCCGCTGGCCTCCTGGAAGTCGGTCTTGGGCACCGCAGCCACTTCCCCTTCCTAGATGCTCTGCAAGGAAGAAGCAATATAAAAGCAGCTGCCAGGTGGCTCCTGAAAACAGGTGTGAATGTCAGCGGGAAGGATCTGGATCCCTGGCCGGCAAGGGTGTCCCGCCCCCCGTCCGGAGGGCTGATTGCGTCCTGGTCCCCCCCACCCCCACCCCCGCTTAGGACCCCCACCCATGCATGAATTTGTGCATAGGACCTCTAGTATAATAATATTACCCAAACTGTACTAACATAGTATAATATCACAAAAGTTGTAGGAAATATTAAAAATCTGCAAATAACAGGATTACTTCTATTATATCCTAAAATATTTTTTCCTCTGGCTCTATTTTTGTTCATCAGTTTATGTTGTTCATTATATTCCACAAGTGAGTGAGATCATGTGATATTTATCTTCCTCCAACTGGCTTATTTCACTTAGCATAATGCTCTCCAGGTCCATCCATGCTGTTGCAAATGGTAAGAGTTCCAGCAGCGTAGTATTCCATCGTGTGGATGTACCACAGTTTTCTAATCCATTCATCTGCTGATGGGCACTTAGGCTGTTTCCAGATCTTAGCTATGGTGAATTGAGCTGCTATGAACACAGGGATGCATATATCCTTTCTGATTGGTGTTCCTGGTTTCTTGGGATATATTCCTGGAAGTGGGATCACTGGGTCAAATGGGAGCTCCATTTTTAGTTTTTTGAGGAAACTCCATACTGTTAATACAGTATTCTTTAAGGCACGCAGATTGTGTTTTTAGACAATAAAGCTATTGCACACTTAGACTATAATATAGGGTAAGCACAACTTATCTCCTCTAGGAAACAAAAAATAATGCCATGACTCGCTTTGTTTTGCATGTGCTTTAGTGCAGTGGCCTGGAGCACACATCTGGGGGCTGTGCCTACATAATAAACCCCTGCCTCCCCCATTCCAGGCATCAACAGAAAAGGGCTTTTCATTTTTCTAATAATATTAAAAATAAACAAGTTTCCAAAAAGGTAAATGTTAATTCCAATAGAAAGTCTCAGGAGCAAGGGCAATCCTGTGGTTTGAATGCATTGTCCTTACTTCTCTTTTTTCCACCAGCTCCATCCACCACCTTGCACGGAGCTGCAGACCAGGCTCTGGGCACCGCCTGGGAGGAAGCTGCAGGCCGACCTGGGCTCCGACCTTAGGTCTCCGGTTAGAGGGGTGGGTTGGGGCCCGTCTCCCTGCGGAGGCGGCGCTGGCGGGCCCGCCCGGGACTGAATGGGCCGCGCGGTTCCGCTCCTGCACGTGCCGGCGGGTCCCTCCGGGAGAGGCGAGCCCAGCGGGGAGCCGCCTGCTTGGCGGGCCACCTGCTCGGAGCCCGTCCTGGGGCGCGGGCGGCAGCCCCGGCCCGCAGGCTACCCGTTTTGGGGATCGCGCCCGCCGAAAGCCAGCAGGTTAGCCCGCGGGGAAAGGACGAGGAGGCGGGGCCGGGACGCCCCGAGAGCGGGGAGGGGCGCGGGGACGCCTCCGGCGTGCAGGGTGCAGGCCTCGCCGGTCCGAGTCGCGTTCTCTGCAGCCCCGGCTCCTCCTCCCGCCGCCTCCCTTCCAGGCCCGCTCGGCGGCGGGCGAGCAGGCGGCGGCAGGAGGCGGCCCACCGCGGCCTCGTCCCGGGCCTCGCCGCCTGGAAGGGCCGGCTCTCCGGGCGCACGCGCCGCCCACCAGCCCCACATTCGGGCCCGGAGCCGGGCTTCCCGAACTGGGGGAAAGGGCAGCGGGGAGAAGAAAGAGAGGGCCCCGCGCGCTGGGAGGTCTCCCATTGGCTGCTCTCGTTCCGCCCTCGATTCTGATTGGCCGCGGGCCGAGTGCACGGATCGAGCACGCTCCTCCGCTCTGCGCGGCGTTCGGCCGGCGACGGCGGCGCAGCCAATGGGAGCAGCGCGGGGGCGGGGCTGCCCGGGGCGGTCGGCGCTGGTCTCCCGGCGCGGGCGAGCTGGTAAACACATCGGGCGCGCAGAGGCGGCGCGAAGGTGACCGCGGCCCAGCTTCCTGCCTCGGGGTAAGGATGCCGCCCGCCCGGGCGCCGCGTGCCTGCGGCCAGTGCGGGCCGCCCTGGCGTCCTCCTCCAGGGGCCGCGCGCTTTCCCTGGGGCGACTTTCACTGGCCGCGGGGGCGGGCTCGCGCCCCGGTACAGGGTGGGGGCCCGGCGGACGTCGCCCACCCCGCGCCCCCCAGCCCGCGGGCCTGCCTCCGGGAGGGGCGAGCGCGGCGGCCGGACCCGAGTGCCGGGAAGGCGCTGAGCAGGCCCCCGACCCGCTGTCCCGCGTCGCGGCTCTTTGTCTGCAGGCAGCTCCCTGCGCCCCTTCCCTCGTGGTGGGATTTCTCTTCCCTCCCGGACCCCTCGGCGCTGGTTCCGGCGGCTCTGACGCGCCTGGCTGCAGATCCGGGTCCGAGCCTTGACTCCTGACCCGAGCCAGCTGGAGGGAGGGGTCCACAGGCGGGGTTTGGGGTGACTTTGGGGAGGGGCCCTTTTTGGTCCTTTCTCCCGCTCCCTTTTGTTGGGCCCCTCCTCCTGCTGCTCGGACCCTCCGGGGCCTTGTGAGTGATTTGGGCTTAATTGCCTTTCCCTCGCCCAGGCCCGTTCTCCCAGGTGCCTGGGGGCAGGACTGGGGCCCGTCCGTCCGTCCGTCCGTCCCGTGAGAGAGGTCAGGCTCCCGGGGAGGGGGGGGGGAGCGTGTCCGCCCTCCCTGCTCGCGGGGGCCAGGCTGTGCGTGGCAGGAGGCCACAGAGCTGGGCATGCCAGCTCCCCTGTGCCAGAGGATTGCACCAGCGGCCAGCTGTCCTGCTGCGGCTGGGGGTCAGGCTGGCAGGAGGGCCCTTCTGGGAGAGGCCCAGGGGGGAGGTGGTTCGGGGAGCAGCCCCTTGTCTGTCAGGCGCTGGAGATGGCTGCAGGCTGCAGGTGGTGCAGGGCGGTTGTAGTTTTTGGCACGACCTCGGGCAACTCCGGAGAAGCGGTGGCCCGTCCCTGCGTGCCACCTAAGACGGGATCCTCCTCCCCGGACTTGACATTTCGGACCGGATGGCTGTGATGGGAGGTGACCTGTGCATTGTGGGATGAGTAGCAGGTCCCTGGCCTGTGTCTAGGAGGTATTAGGAGTCCCCGCCACACACACACACGGGCTGTGACAGCCCAGAATAGCTCGGAGCACAGCATCGCCCTCCTGGAGAACCACTGAGGTCAGACTCTAAAAGGGGCTCCTGGGACCTGCCCTGAGCAGCTGAGAGGTTTAGGAACTGGGTGGTGGCCTCTGCCCTAAACTACGTGGACGCGGCTTTATTTTATTTTATTTTTTTAAAATATATTTTTTATTGATTAAGATATTACATATGTGTCCTTATCCCCACGTTACCCCCTATTCCCCCCCCCTCATGCCCTCACCCCCCCGTTGTCCATGTCCATTGGTCAGGCCTATATGCTTGCATATAAGTCCTTTGGTTGATCTTTCCCCCACCCTCCCCTACCTTCCCTCCAAGGCCCCACAGTCCAATCAATGCCTCTCCGTCTCTGGATCAGGTGGACACGGCTTTAAAGGGGACCTCAGCCCTGCTCCTGGGAGGGCAGTGAGGGGCGGGAGGCAGAAGCCCTGGGCTGTTGCTGTGCCCGCTGCATGCATGGCAGTGGCCGGCGGGTCCCAAGTGCAACAGAAGTGGAAGACTGGTGGTTGCAGCCTTTCAGGGCTTTGCAAGACTGGAGATATGCATAAGAGATAACTGTGGGGCAGCTTTTAAATCCTGAGCAAACCAGTGGAAGCTGCCGGAATGCAGGCAGAAGGGCCGACTCAGCTCTCCACAGGCGGCTTTTCCAAGGTGATGCTCGCTCAGCCTCACTTCCTAGGAAGACGTCCCTGTGTCTTGTGATATGGGAGGGGTGCAGGGAGGAAGTGCCCGGGAACATACGTGTGGGTCTGTTTAAATGTACCACTGCCCCTCCCTGGGACAGGCCACCCGGAGTGCAGTGGTGCAGCATGGACACCTGTATAGTTTGTGCAGGTCTTTTATGGTTGATTCTTCGAAGCATCCGTGTCAGAGACAGTGAGCCCTTTCTTTTCATGCAGGGAAAGATACTGTAATTCTGAGTCTAGATTTTGCCTTCTGTCTACCAGGAAGCCAGAATTTATGCCCCAAATTTCTGAGTCCTAAATGGATGGTATGCAGAAAAAGCCGAAAAACAGGTGATGATTGTACAGGGCAGAGAAAGACATCCCAAGTGCCTACTGTAAATTTCCCTTTCTGGTTGCCCATCAGCCCTGTGGGGATGTGTTAGGATTTTCCCATAACACTCCCTGGTTAGTGAGGGGGTCTTTCTTGCCCTTTGTTGCTTGTAGAAAAGCATCTAGACAGGGAGTTCACTTCTCCTTCCTCAAAAAGACGTTTAAAAAAGTCTATTATTGGGAAGCTCCAAACTTAGCAGGATAATTTTCCGTCAGGAGCCACGGACACTGAGTCATTATCTTTGTTAGTTGAAACAAGAGCTGTGTGCAAAATTAGACAGGAATATTTAGGTAGAGAGTTGTCTTGGTCTGACAGTGTTGTCTGGAAATAGTTCCAGCATTCCCGCTAAACAGCGGCCCGGGCACTGCGAGAGCCTCGGAAGGGAGTGCGGAATGAGGTCCAGCTCTAGCAGGTGCACCTGCGGGGTGGGGGCGGGGGGTGGGGGGTGGGGTCTGCTGGTGCCGAGTGAGGTGAATCTAGGTGGGATCTGAGGGGGGCATCTCTCCACCCTTTGCAAACTCGAGTGGGCATCCATCGGCCTGTCCACCAGCATATTGTTTGAGCCCTTGACCCTTAGTTTTGAGGTCTGGGTCCCACAGAATATCGAAAGTTGGAACTAACTCTGAAATCTCTTTTTGCTCTTCATACTTGGGTGTGATTTATTTTTAGTGTGTGCATGTGTTTTCACTCAAATTGCCATTTCAGGGTATTGTAGAATCTGTTGAAATTGAGTAGTGACTGAGTTCTTGTCTCAGGAGCCATCGACTTGCATTAAAAACCAAAAAAAATCCTCCTATTCCCATCTGGGCTGGGGAAGAGGCGCAGCGTCTGGTCCAAACCTGAAAAATCCCTGTGTGCCCTCAGGGTCGGTGCCCCCACATCCTGCCCTTGAAGAAAAGCCCACTCTGAGGTGGCGGGTGGATCTGTAAACAGACCCTCCTCGTTGTTTCAGCCCTCCTATGTGTCCCTCCTCGTTGTTTCAGTCCTCCTATGTGTCCCTCCTCGTTGTTTCAGTCCTCCTATGTGTCCCTCCTCGTTGTTTCAGTCCTCCTATGTGTCCCTCCTCGTTGTTTCAGTCCTCCTGTGTGTCCCTCCTCGTTGTTTCAGTCCTCCTGTGTGTCCCTCCTCGTTGTTTCAGTCCTCCTATGTGTCCCTCCTCGTTGTTTCAGCCCTCCTATGTGTCCCTCCTCGTTGTTTCAGCCCTCCTATGTGTCCCTCCTCGTTGTTTCAGTCCTCCTATGTGTCCCTCCTCGTTGTTCAGCCCTCCTATGTGTCCCTCCTCGTTGTTTCAGCCCTCCTATGTGTCCCTCCTCGTTGTTTCAGTCCTCCTGTGTGTCCCTCCTCGTTGTTTCAGTCCTCCTGTGTGTTCCTCCTCGTTGTTTCAGTCCTCCTGTGTGTTCCTCCTCGTTGTTTCAGTCCTCCTGTGTGTCCCTCCTCGTTGTTTCAGCCCTCCTATGTGTCCCTCCTCGTTGTTTCAGCCCTCCTATGTGTCCCTCCTCGTTGTTTCAGCCCTCCTATGTGTCCCTCCTCGTTGTTTCAGTCCTCCTGTGTGTTCCTCCTCGTTGTTTCAGCCCTCCTATGTGTCCCTCCTCGTTGTTTCAGTCCTCCTATGTGTCCCTCCTCGTTGTTTCAGTCCTCCTGTGTGTCCCTCCTCGTGGCACAGATAGCGGCTGATTGTCTGCCTGAACATGGCAGTGGGAATAGAAAAGTGAGGGAGGCTTGGGTCCCTGACCTCAGGCAGTTGTAGTAAGGGGTGTGCCGATACCTAGCCCCTCGGTGTGGCGTGGACGAGGGACGCTGGGTCAGACACGTCTAACTGATGGGCACTGCAAAGGCTTCTTTTTAAAAATTATTTATTTTTATTTATTTATTCTAATCCTCACCGAAGGATATTTTTCCATTGGTTTTTAGAGAGCGTGGAAGAGAGAGGGAAAGACAGAGAGAGAGAGAGAGAGAGAGAGAGAGAGGAATATGAATGTGAGAGAAACACATCCATTGGTTGCCTCTGGTTGGGCTGGGGAGGAGCCTACAATCGAGGCACGTGCCCTTGGCCGGAGTCGAACCCAGGGCTCTGTGGGCTGCAGGCCGACACGCTATTCACTGAGCCAAACTGGCTGGGCTGCAAAGGCTTCTGGAAGGAGAAGGCGTGGTGGCTGGGCTCCTGCGGACGAGCAGGGTTTCAGCAGGAAGAGGCGGGAGTTCGGGGTGGGAGTAAGGGGCCAGTGCTTCCCAGACTCTGGTAAAGGAACAGGTTTTATTCCCCCCCCCCCCCCCCAATTTGTTGCAGATCAATGCTTTTGCGAGACGCAGGAAGACCTGCATGGCAACACTAAATGGCTGTAAAAGTTTCTAAGTGCTTATTCCTGTTACCGAGGTTGGCAATATCAGTCCAAGAGCCAGGCTGAGTAGCATTGGTCCAGGCAGCAGGCTGTTGGAACAGAGGCCGTGGGGTAGGTGAGCGCCCGGGGACGGGGCGAGTGCAGTCTGGCTGAAGGGTGGGGGTGAGGGGAGCACACGGGGGTGAAGCAGCCTGTGTGGTCCGCCCTGAGGAGTGTAGGTCAGTCTGAGCAGCATTGCTGCCAGCGGTGCTCCTGTTACATTGTATCTCAGCAGTGGGGTCAGAGGGCCTGGCATAGTGCTCCCGGTCACTTTTAGCTGTCAGTTCAGGCCAGAAAGTGTTCCTGAGCCCCTGCAACTCACTCACCAGCCCAGCTACCGCCTGGAGGGCTCTGGGAGGCAGCTCCCTGCCCTGTGCACTGTGGGCCGGGAGATAGTGTGGTTACGGGGCAGGCTGCAAGGTTTTCAGCTGTGGGAACCCAGGTGGAGTGGGTGCTGATTCTGATGGAAAAGGGCTGGGAAAGCAGCTTCCTACTGGGAGGCCTGGGAGCTGGAGCCTGAAGGGAGAGAGAGGTTTCCATGGGAGAGAAAAGCTCTAGGGCCGAGGCCCAAGCAGGGGCATTGCTGGGGGAGGGCACTGGGGCCAGCAGGTGTGTGCAGAGGGTGAAGGCAGGTCAGGGGGGACAGGGAGGGAGCCCAGGGAGGTGCTTTGTGAGAAGTGAGGGTGGCCCGAGTCCCAGGTGCGGGGTGGAGAGAGGTGGAATGCAAGGCACAGATTCAAGAGAATGTAAATCTATGCAGATAGGATTTCTAAACTGAGCTTTCTAGTCGGGAGGAGGAGCTTTTTGGGTGTGTATGGGTGGTGTTGCTACTGAAAACAGAGGTGCAGGAGGAGGAGGAGCTGGCCTGGGAAAATGATGTTAGTTTTAGATGTGTAGGGGCTGAGTGGCTGTGGGGTTCTCCTCCATCTTATTTTACTAAGATGTCATTGCATACAGCAAATTCACTCTTTCTAGTGTAAGGCTCTGTATTTTGACAAATGCATATAGTCACCTAACCGTCCCCACAGTCAAGGTGTAGAACATTCCCTCACCCCCCACATTCTCCTGGGCCCTTCATGGGTGCCTGTGGGATTCTGAGGGGTGATGTGATGTGTGCATAAGCGGGGCCTGTTCCGGAACGAATTGGTTCAGTGTTGAGATGGCCTGCTTGGCCTGAGAACGGGATGCAGCCCAGGGGACAGTGTCGGTGAGCAGGGAGGGTGGGGTCAGGACCAGCCCAGGGGACAGTGTCGGTGAGCAGGGAGGGTGGGGTCAGGACCAGCCCAGGGGACAGTGTCGGTGAGCAGGGAGGGTGGGGTCAGGACCAGCCCAGGGGACAGTGTCGGTGAGCAGGGAGGATGGGGTCAGGACCAGCCCAGGGGACAGTGTCGGTGAGCAGGAGGGTGGGGTCAGGACCAGCCCAGGGGACAGTGTCGGTGAGCAGGGAGGGATGGGGTCAGGACCACCCAGGGGACAGTGTTGGTGGCGGGAGGATGGGGTCAGGACCAGCCCAGGGGATAGTGTCGGTGAGCAGGGAGGGTGGGGTCAGGACCAGGCCTGGGGACAGTGTAGGTGAGCAGGGAGGATGGGGTCAGGACCAGCCCAGGGGACAGTGTCGGTGAGCAGGGAGGATGGGGTCAGGACCAGGCCTGGGGACAGTGTCGGTGAGCAGGGAGGATGGGGTCAGGACCAGCCCAGGGGACAGTGTCGGTGAGCAGGGAGGATGGGGTCAGGACCAGGCCTGGGGACTCTGCAGGAGGCTGAGGAGAGGAACTGGTGGAGGAATCCCAGGTGGGGGGTGAGAGTGAGTCATGGAACCGTGGGGGGTTTAGGGGAATGTGTGGGGCCACAGGAAACGCTGAGGAGGCGGTGGTGGGGTGGCCTCAGGTGTATTGAGCCATCAGGTGGCTGTTGTGAATATCACGAGGGGAGGGCTTGGGTGGGGCCAGACAGGGTGTGCTGGGGGAGAAGGAAGATGGGAAGTGCACTCTGTCCCTGGGAGAGGCTGGCCAGGATGAGGCTGGAGGGGAAGCACATTTGGTTGGGAACACTAAGAGAAGGTTGTGGGCGGGAGGTGGAGGATGCTGTGGATGGAGAGATGGAGGGCAAAAGGAAAAACAGGGAGGGGCAGGGTCCTAGTGGAGGAGGGAGGAGGGTGCCACCAGTGTGGGGAGGAGATAGGACAGGGGAGGCCAGGCTGTGGGGCGGTCTGAGATGTAGGCCAAGGGTTTGAGCGTGCTCACATCTGGTTGCCTCTGTTTTGGAGGGAAACAGGTCAGCTCTAGAGGGAGTGAGGCCTTCTGGAGTGAATGGGGCAGGGTGGGCTGGGGTGGAGCTGGAAGAGAAAGCCAGGTTGGTATCCTGCCTTCGGTGCCCTGGAGGTCCTGCGCCTGCCAGCCTCTGAGGAGCTGATAGTTGCTGGCAGGGCAGTGAATGAGAGAGTGAGTGTGAAGAGAAGGTTGTGTGAGAGGGGCCCGCCCCTCCTTGCTCACTGCCTCTGCGCCATCGCACTGGACTGGCCCAGAGGTCTGTTTCCTGAGATGCTCTGTGAGTCCCACCTCCCCACCCAGGGAAGCAGGGTCTGCCCTCCCCATTTGCCATTGTTATGGAATGTCTAGAAGGGTCAGTACTTGAATTCTTTTGAGCATTATTCTTTCTAGACGTCTGTTAAATCAACCTTCTGCACTTTAGGGATAAAGGATGGAGTCCTAACCTCTGGGAACGGGTGATCATCTAGGTCAGTGGCCTCTTGAGGAAATGAGGAAATGCAGGCCCAGAGAGGAGAACGGGTGTGCCTGAGGGCACATGTGGCTGTTGCCCAGCGTGGGCTCCGCACCCAGCCTTGCTGTCCGTCCGGCAGCCTCATCGCGCTTCTCATGTCTGAGAACTAGAGGGCTTGGCGGCCACGCTCCTGCCACCTGCTGGGCTGGACGGGAGGGCCCGGGCATGTTCACACAGAACTTTGGAGCCCAGCGCCTGGGCCAGTGTTTGTGCTCCGCCTGGCGCCTTTCTCTCTGGCGCCCATCCTGGCTCAGGAGGGTGAAGGTAGGAGTAGATTGCCCCGTGACCGCAGGTGGTTACTGTTTGACAGGTGCTGGAGCAAATATCTCATATCTTTCTGAGATTAAAAAAAAAGTGTGTGGCTCTTGCTCTCTAACGTGTTTACAGCCAACATTTGGTAAAGCAAAAGGCTGGGCACCATTTCACCGTGGGTCGGTCTGCTGTTTCCTGGTCAAGCCTGCATGGAGTTCACTGTTAAAGGACCAGGCCTGCTAGCTTCCCCCTCTCAGTCCTTACACGCAAGGAGTGGAGAGAAGTGGAAGCAGTGGAGGTACCTCAGTCTGTATGGGCACCCCCCCCCCACCTCCTAGCGCCTGAGCGGGCACCGCCAGCAGACTGGTACTGACCTGGCCCTGCTCCTATGGCAGTCACTCTTCCTCCATTCTCTCTCTTCTGCCCCACCTCGTAAAACGGGGGGCTGCTGCTGCCGCCTGTGGCTCTGCATGGAAGGGTGGGGTGTCTCAGGGTGGTGGCAGAAAGGAAGAACATTTCCCTGATGCTTGGCACCCCAGGTGTCTCTGGTTCTGGGTTCTAGGTGGGAGAGCTTGATGAGCTAGGGAGCACCCAGGATGCATACGGGCATTAAGCTCCTGGTGTGGACGAGGCACAGTGCCAGACACTGGGACGTGTGGAACTGGGAAGAGACTTCGCTCTCTCTAGGAGCCCCGTGCTCAGAGCTTTACACAGGGCCAGATGGCCTTGGAGAGCACAGCCAGGTCCAGGGCTTTTATGACTCACAATGTTCTGCAATCGGTATGGACCTGTGTGTCTCAGGGAGAGTGACTATTTATTTTAAAAAATGTTATTGACCCAGGGGCAGGTTTCTTATCTCTTAGCTGCCTGGCATCAGACAGGCAGGGATAGGCCAGCACCTGACGCTTTGGGACTTAAAGGATATTTCTTCCCCTGGCTGTTTTATCTCATCAGCAGATGGGGACAATAATACCTCAGGGTTGTTGGAGGATTAGGAGCAATATAAAGTGATAGGCACACACTTTAATAATAGTACATGGTAGTTCTTGCTATTAATACTATTGCATTCAACTGTTAAATCTGAGGTGAGCATGTTGTGGAAAATTAAGAATGCGAAAACGAATGCGATGGCATTTTCAGGGCGGAGGCTCTTACTGGGACATCGTGGGATAGCCTGGCAGGTAATAAATGCTCAGCAGTGGTTTGAATGTTGAACTGAACCTGGGAAAGAGGCTTGTAGGAGCATGAGACATATTTATACTGAAAGCCGGCAGGACTCTGTCGTCAAGAACAAGAATGTGTTTTGAGCTGACCATGGATATTCTAGCACCTAACTGCCTGGCACTTGGTTGGCAGTCAGTGCTGTTTGGGGATGGTGGTGGTGACCAAACCAAGTTATTTTAGAAAAATGATCTGGAAATTATTTCAGGATATAACCCCTCTTCCAACCCAATGATGTGCCTTTTAAAAAATAGCCACTGTATTAGTTTCCAGTTGCTGCTGTAACAAATTACCATTAGCCTGGTGGTTTAAACCACCGCAGGTTTATTATTTTACAGTTCTGTAGGTCAGAAGTCGGTAATGGGTCTCCATGGGCTAAAATCAAGGTGTCAGCGGTGCTCGTTTTTTTCTGGAGGTAGCCTGCATCCCTTCCTCTAACCTCTGCTGCTCTCATGTCTTCATCTTTTTTTAAGTATATTTTTATTGATTTCAGAGAGGAAGGGAGAAGGAGAGAGAGAGAAACATCAATGATGAGAGAGAATGATTGGTTGGGTGCCTCCTGCCCGCCCCCCACTGGGGATTGGGCCTGCAAACCAGGCCTGTGCCCTGACTGGAATGGAACCTGCGACTTTTCCGCTCGCAGGCTGACGCTCTAGCCACTGAGCCAGACCGGCCAGGGCTCTCATGTCTTCTCTGATTCTGGTCTTCCAGCCTCTCATACAGACCCTGTGATTACATTGGGCCCACGTGGATACTCTCCTCATTTCAAGATCTTTAACTTCATCCCATCTGGGCCATCCAGGGACTACAATTTCAGACCTGTGTGGGGGTCTGTGTGTGGACCAGGGCAGACAGGCCAGCTCCTGTGGCTCCCCAGGAAGTCTTCATGCCCTGCTGCAGGGGGCCCTCTGTGGGCGTAGGGTGGAGGCAGCAGTGTCCGCCCCGTGGACCTGTGCCTCTCCCTCTGACCCTGACCTCAGTTCCCCGTGCACACGCCTGGGGCTTGCCTCGCAGGGGCTCTTGTGAGGGACACAGTGAAAGTGCACCAATGAAGGGTCAGTTAGATGGTGGATGGATTTACATCTACTCAGATTCAGCCTGTGGACCCACAGTGGCATTTGTCCGTTTAGGGTGAGGCAAGACTATGGCTGTGAGCCTCCTGAAATGGCAGGAGGGAGTAGAGATGTAAAGGAAGTAGCATCTGACACCCCTCACACTCCCCAGACCTGACCCCTTCATGAGTAGCATTTAGGGGCTGCCCTGAACTGGGTGATCCAGTAAAAGGTAGTCACCAGGGAGCCTGCTCCCCTTGTCAGGCTGCAGCCTGGGGGCCTCTGGGGTTGCGCAGCTCTGTGTCTGGTGAGGTGAGCCCAGCTCCGGGGGGCAGGAGCAGAGATGTAATTGGGGATTTCAGCCTTGATGGGCTGTTCTGATACAACTCTAGTGACCTTTCCAGATTTCCTGGTACAGTTCTGGTTATATTTTTCTGTTGTCCTATAATAGAGGTCAACAAACTCCCTATAAAGGGCCACATAGTAAATATTTAAGGCTGTGTGGATTTTTTAGGTCTCTCTTGCATCTATTCAACTCTGCTGTTATAGCTAAAAAACAAACCAACAAAAACCCCCAAACAGCAATAGATAATACATGTGTAGATGAATGAGATGTAGACAGTACGTAAGTGAACAAGCAGGTTTATGTCCCAATAAATACTGATTTACAGAAACAGGCAGCAGGGCTGGACTTGACTGAGGGTCATGGTTTGATGACCCTGACCTGGAAGAACCCTAGGCATATTACATGTCTCAACTTTGCTGCAAAAAAATGTGGTCACTGCACTTGCTACATTATTCTAAACTAGGGCCCTATTTCTTTTTTGGGGGGGAGTACCCATTAATGGTTTCTGTCTTTTAACACAGGGGCCAGCATAGGACCTGCTGCCTGCCTGTGCCAAGTGGTTTTCTCACCAGTTTCTGAGAAGGGCAGTTGAGCCTCTTTCCCCGAAGTGGGGTGGCCATGTTCCATCTTCCTGGCGGCCTCCAGGGGCAGCTGTCTTCTGATGAAGTTTGGTGGCTAAACAAGGGTGTGGAGAGCATTATTTATAGCTTTCTGATCTGCCGTCTGGCCCTCGCCCATTCCTCCTGGAACAGATACTTAGGACCTGGACAGTTTCTTACAACTACACATTTGTGTGTTTGCTTGTGTTTTTTATTTTAATAACAAATATTTAAGAATATTTTATATATTTTCTATTATAAAAGTAGTACATCCTCTTTGTAGAATATTATAGAAAATATGAAGAAAGTAAAAAGGATCTATTATGACCATCACTCAGAGAAAACCACTGACTGCTTCTCACATGCTCTGTCATCCATCTCCCTCCCTCCCTCTCTCCAAAAGGAAGGCTAATACTACTTTGTCATCTGCTTTTTCTTTTTCACACGAGAATATATAATAAACTTTCTTATTTGTCAGTGAACACCTTTCATAGTGTCATCTTAAATGGCTGCCTAGCATTCTATCCTATGGATATATCACTATTCACATAATCAATCTCACACAATGTTGTGACTGACATTCCTATAACTGAATTATACCTACTTTTTATTTTGTAAGGAAATGCAGTTTGACAGATTTTGTCAGGATTCTTGGATAATTATTAGGCAGGTTGGCCTGGGAGGAGAAGGAACAAGGATTTTCTGTAGACGGGAAGGTTTGGGACATTCTGGAGGTGACTCGCGGCTGTGAGGAATGAATGACTGCAGGCCTGTTTCCCACTGTGAAGGCTTGACTCACGGCCTGGGCTAGGGCCAGCTGATGGGAAGGACAGAGGATATTCTTTCTCTCCTGGGTTCTTTCTCATGTCCCCAGTTGCCTTTGAAAATGGATAGCATATTAGGATATTTCTGAACTTGCTGACGTTGACCCCGAGGCCAGACCTTACTAGATAGAAGCCTGGAGGTGGCTGAGATATTTGAGTGCCGGCCCGGCGTGGGCTTGTCAAGGCCCAGGTGAAGGGCACATCTGCAGAGACGGGCGGGTCGGTGCGGAAGGTGAAGTCTTTCCCGTAACACATGCGTTCTTGAGTCCTTGGAGGACACTGTCAGCTGGTGTTTCCTTTTTTCTTAGTAAAAGAAAAATTTCAAGTGTGTAAAGCAACTTTCCAGTACCCATGAAAGCTAGGAATTGAGAATGTTCATGCCCAAGGTAAAAAAGATTGTTTTTGTCCTGCCGTGGTCGGCAAACTGCGGC